CAATGATTCCTGCTGTTCTGATGGATGCCCAGACTTGTGAAATGATCGTTTCACCAATAAGTCCCACTTTCGCCTTTCCAATAACGGCCTTTCCACTTTTTGGCAACAACCGATATAGGCTTTGAAAGAAACCTGCTATGTCGTTGTAAATGCTAATGTGTCTTTCTTGGGCACTACTCGGCCAGGGATTGTCAACCCGACAACTGTACCAAAAATATTTTCACATACAGTATGGGTACATGTTTTTGACCGCACATAAGGGTCCCAACCGATTTTATGGTTTCTTGCAAGAGGTTTTGAAAAAATCGGTGTAGCAAACGCATAGATACGTTTCCGCCCGAGTTCGACTCAGCCAGGGACTGTCGAATCAACTCGTTTTTTGCAGAGGCATACATTTTTAAATGTTTTATACCCCGTATAAAGGTTCCGACCGATTTGATGTCTTCCAAATGCGTCCGTTAGGTCAAACTTATTGAAGGTTCCACTAGTTTCCGGAACTAAGCTGTATTCGAAATTGTCAACTTTTCTCAATTTTTCCCACTTGGGTGACATTTATATGGAAAATATTTCCAATCAAAATATCATAAAGAAAATCCAAACACAATTGAAAATTTTCCCTGATGCATACTGACTTTCAAACTTTACTGTATCTGCATATAATTTTTTTTTGCACACACGATTAGATTAAGCACAAAAAAATACGCCCGACAACAACAAAATCAACAAATCTATAGCGAGCAAAAAAATATGAAATAATCTATAGATTACGATAACGACTGGAAATAAAGAACAAGCAAAATTTTGCTAATTTCTAATCTCAGTGGGCAATGCTAGAAGAAATTATACCTTTAAATACCGGTCTTTAGGCAACAATAAGGGAAGTCTTTCGAACGACACAGACGTGTCAACACAACGCACTTAACCAAAAACGTCTTCGATCAACGAAGACTCGGAATTATCCGGGAAGAAAGTAAAGACGTTTATATCGAAAACACATTTTGTACAGTACATCAGCTAGTTAGCCAAAGAAAAAGTGAGTGAAATTTATCGAAAACAAAAAAAATTACCATGAACAAAAGAACTTAACAACAACAAAAACAGAGAAGAACATTATGAATGTGAGCCAGAACCTGTTGTGTGAGAGAGAGTGACAGTGTGAAAGAGTTATCAAACTGAGAAAGCTTTGCAAATTCTTGCCATATTGTGGTATATGGCGTGTGTGTGTGTTTGTTGTATAGAGTGTGTGTGTGTGGCTTTGCAAGACCACATGTGTTTGATTTGGTTGCCACTCTCTCCCTCTCTTTTTTGCATAGGAATGAGCACAACAACAAGCAGTCATCCCGGCCGTGTTGTAGTAAAATACCACATAGAAATAAGATCGACTGTTCATTTATATCTGGCGTATGGTGTTGAACGGTGGTTAAGTTACAGTTGTTCGGAAAACGTAAACGTGACTTAAATAAAATCATTGAATAAAGAAAAGAAAAGGAGGAACAAAAAAGTAAGGCAAAAAAATCGACATAAAGGAGTAATTTGAACATACAAAAACAACACGTATGTATGTGCAAAAAAATTAACAAAACAAAGAGGAGGAATATTTTAACTAAAAAAATTAAAAAAGAAAAGAAATTGTGTGAACTAAGAAGAAGAAGACAAAAAGATAAACAACAAATAAAATAAATTTGATATTTATTTATCCCGTTTGAATTTGTGTGTGACTAGCTGGCTGGCTATTCTGCAAAAATGTTCAAGGGCAAATCGTTGGCGGTTGTCGTTGCCGCCTGTCTGTCTTGTTTATTCCCCTTTTCCTTCTCCTCCTCTCTTTAATTCTTTAAATAATGGGTTTTTCTATTTATTTATTTTTTTTTTTTTTTTGTTGCTAAAAGAAGTGAAAGAAGATAGTACAGTGAGTGAGTGAATTCCACGTCAACCATAACCAAACCAACCGTAATGTTTGTCTGTGTAATAGTGGTGAATCTCTTTACCGCTTGGCTACTTCTCACAGCCCACTTTTTCATTTTTTTTAGCTTTAACTTTGTTTTCGGCCAACTTTCTTTTGTCCCCGTTTTTTGTGAATGGAAAATTTTTGAATATTCAAACATTTGAAACTGAAATAAAATATCCAATTCGCTTTAATTTTTTGTAGTTAATTTTTTTTGTCATTCACAATAAACATCTTCTTCCACCCCAACAAAAAAAAATCGGATGATGTGACGTAAGAAGTGCAAAAAATTTTGCGATTTTTTCTCAAAGAAAAAAATTGAAATCAATCCCCTTAGTAGTTAATTCGAATATATTGAAGATTAGCTTATGGCGAAGATGAGGATGATGTGTGTGTGAGTGTAAATGGGTACGCGTGATATGTACTGGGATAAGACTTGAAAATCGTGTGACTTTCATTTGTTCTGTTCTTTTTTTTCAAATATGTATAGTATTTTGTTGTTATTGTTATTATTAAGTGTAATTTTTCAATTCTCAAATGTGTCAGGTTTTGATTTGCGCCAACAATGCCAGCTGGGTTATACAGTGGGTACAAGGGAAACTTGCAAAAAATTTATGACGCAATTTCGCATTGTATAGACCCCAATGGATGTAGTGGAGGGTGCAGCAGGAGAAGGGAGGTTTATTGTTTGTAAAAAATAAATAAACATTTCCCCCCAAATTAGTATTTGTTTATCTTTTCTTTGAGAGATAAAAGAGTGGCGAATTTTATAGTCTATTGTGGACTTCGTACTACGCCCCGAAAATAGGTACAGTTGTGATTTTTTTGAGTTTCAGGTGTGGCTTGAAGTAAAACACAGTAATGATACGATGGTGTATATTTCCAATTACTAATGTGACGATAAGTAAATTTTCCCCCTCTGATTTCTTGAAGTGTTATTGTTGGCCACTCACAATACATAAGTCTATTTCTTCCCACTAATTTCTTGAGGAGTCAGAATTATGCACTTACGATCAAAGTCTAACAGTTAAGAAAAATAATTTTTGTAGACCAATAAACCTTCCGAGGAATACCGACTTTTTGAAAATGTTGTTTTCATAGCCGAAAACCAACACCAGTACGCAAAAAAAAAATCGTAGGGTAAAACAGGAGTCTCACAATGCTGGGTTGATATCACCGAAATCTCTTTCAGGTATTTTAGCTCATATAGACTGCAAAGAGAACTTATACGGATGGTTGTACGATCATGACATCGGATCCTGTCGTTGAGAAAGAAAGTGAAATGTTGAACACCTAGTAATTTTGGTAGCATGTTTCCACGCAAGGAATATTGAAAAAAATTGCCACAAAATTCCTGTTGGACACCTTCGACAGGAAGCCATGGCTATCCGCGATATGTTAAAAAGTAAGAATATGTCCCTCTTTTCGATTTGATAGCCTTTTTCTTAGTGAAAAATAGGAAATGTGTTGTTGCAAAGTCTTTAGCCACATGCACTCGAAGATGAAGATGCTAAAAAGTAGGAACAAGGTCCATAAGTCGATTGACATTGGTACTTATTGCTCAGCTTATTGAACAGACCATAAAAGTATTCAAACTGATACAATTCTTCCCGAAATTATGACAACTAATTTTCCATAGACAAAACGTGTTCTGAAATACACAACGACAAAAAATTCCGTACATGATATCTCAAACCTGAAATTTCAGTTTTTATGAATAATTTTTGACTCGCTCTACATACAACATAACTTGAATGCTGTGCAACGTGTTAATGAATTCATCGCCAAGATTATCACACTTCGTGAGATACGTTCCATCAATGCGATCTCTATTTGTTTCATATTCAATAGAAATAATTTAAATAATACTAAGCTTCGCTTCGGATCGTGTTCTTCCGAAAGGAAGGAAACATCTGCGGGATGTCTTTAAGGATCTTGTCATACTTCCATACTTTATATCATTTATACGTCAGACATCCCAATGTTATGTGACAACACAGTCTAACTTTTTGCCGTCGATATATCAATTCATAGTTCTGATTGTTTCGGTTCTTCTTGAAGCAGGTTTACTGGAGTTAAGCAAATATTTTTTTTAAATGGGAATTCTTTTATACACAAAAAAACTGAAGTGATATATTTTACAAGGAAACGTGGAGCACGCTTTTTTTCTCAGCGACGAAAATGATATCCACTGGAAGAACAATGTAAAGTATATTAAGATAATCCTTGTTACTCGAATAAGTTTCAGGACCCACATTGACAAAATCAATAAAATTGCGAGAATGATGTATCCATTTATAAATCGCCCTGATCTTTCCAACGAATTCGTGACCTTCCCCTTCTGGGTGAACCAAAACTTATTTGTTTGGTGTTCGGAGTGCCATTTCTGTTCACCTTTGATTCTAGTATGACATGTTAAAAAAAGTTACACAACTGTCACCTTGTCTGAGTCCTCGTTTGGTATTGAAGGGTTCCGAGAGCTGCTGACCTTGTGCCAGTTAAAATTATCCTGCATAGCCGTATTAATTTTTGCAGGAATACCGAACGCAGGCTTGGCTTTAAATAACTCTGAGCGGATTGGTCGGTCGAATCCGGCTTTATAGTCGACGAATAGGTGTTTCCCAAAAAAAGTTGAATATGGGTCCTTGTTTTGATATTTACGTAAAAAAGTCCTCTGAATATCTGAATCTTTTTCGAATACTAATTGTTCTAAAACTAATTTCCTACTTTGACAAAAATATAAATGTAAAAATTCAAAAAGATTCAAATCAAGTTCTTGCCATTTCACAACACGTTTTATCGCTCACAGTCGAGCCGTCTTCATTGTGGCTTAGCCATTTACTCTGACAGCTTGAGCGTCTTGTAGCAGCTGTCATAGCAATGGTTCACGCGGGCACTCTGTCGTCAGCCTGTTCCTTGGAAAATTGAAGTAATTTTTTGTATATAAAACTCTCGGTTGATTCCAAAGGTCTATAAAAATGACATTTTTAAAAAATTCTACAAATTTTTTGTTGTAATTTTTTATAACCAACATTTTTTTTCCCTCTTTGCAGTAAAACAAAATGCCGCCACGCTCAACAACCGTCGCCAGTAACGACGAACCCCTTGATACCACTGAGTTGGCTGGAGGTTCCAAACAAACAGGTGTTTTGTTTGAAACCGATGCCGATACTGCTGATGGTGCCTTGGCCGCCGACATCACCCAATTCAAGAAGGCTGAAAAGCGTAAATTGCAATTGGTGTGGCGTAACATCATTTTGTTCGGCTATTTGCATTTGGCCGCTTTGTATGGTGGTTATTTGTTCTTTACCAAGGCTAAGTGGGCCACCGTTTTCTTCTGTAAGTGTTAAGACACAATTCCTTTTAAAAGTATATACTAATTAATTATTTTGTTGTTGCAGCCATCTTCCTGTATTCCATTGGTGTGTTGGGTATTACCGCCGGTGCCCATCGTTTGTATGCTCATCGCTCGTACAAGGCCAAATGGCCATTGCGTGTGTTGTTGATCATCTTCAACACTGTGGCCTTCCAGGATGCTGCCTACCATTGGGCCCGTGATCATCGTGTCCATCACAAGTTCTCTGAAACCGATGCTGATCCCCACAATGCCACCCGTGGTTTCTTCTTCTCGCACATCGGTTGGTTGCTGTGCAAAAAACATCCCGATGTAGTAGCTAAGGGCAAGGGTTTGGATTTGTCTGACTTGCGTGCCGATCCCATTTTGATGTTCCAAAAGAAACACTACATGATCTTGATGCCTTTGGCCTGTTTCATTTTGCCCACCATTATCCCCATGTACTGCTGGAATGAATCGTTCATGAATTCCTGGTTTGTGGCCACCATGTTCCGTTGGTGTTTCTTGTTGAATGTCACCTGGTGTGTGAACAGTGCCGCTCACAAGTTCGGTGGACGTCCTTATGATAAGTAAGTCCGCCTCAAAATCTTATTTAACGATATGGTTATTTATTATTTGTGTGTCTTTGCAGGAGCATTAACCCCGCTGAAAACTCCTTGGTTGCCTATTTCGCTTTCGGTGAAGGCTGGCACAACTATCACCATGTCTTCCCCTGGGATTACAAGACTGCCGAATGGGGCAACTGGTCCATGAACTTTACCACTGCCTTCATCAACTTCTTTGCCAAGATTGGCTGGGCCTACGATCTGAAATCCGTTGCCCCCGAAACCATTCAAAAGCGTGTCAAGCGTACCGGTGATGGCAGCCATCATTTGTGGGGCTATGGCGATAAGGATTTGACTCCCGAAATCGAAAAGGATATTTTGACTGTCGATAAGAAGGATCTCTAAATACAGATCGCAGACTCGGAAAATTACTGATGACCCCCAGCAGCAGTAATGAGAAAACAAAATCAACACAGGCTACCTATATACCAACATCAAAAGCACAAGATTAATCATGTCTTTCGTGTTATATAAAGTTGTATTTATTAATTTTTAATATTTTTGTATTATCCCCTAAGCTACTACTCTCTAACCAACTACACAAATCTTATCTAGATAATATATTTTTATAAAAAAAAAAACAAAAAATTTATAAAAATCCCTTGCCATGGCAATTTAAAAAAGGGAGGAACATGTGATGATTTTTCAGTAGTTCGAACTACTAAAAAAAGAGAAATGAAACGATACCATTAATAAAAAATAGCAGAAGAAAAAACTCGCAATATTATAAAAAAAGAAAACCACTTGAGCTTTTTCGTTCTTTATGGCTGATTCGAAATTTGCTAATTATCTTATGGTTATGGGAGGGAGAGCAGGGTCCTCTATAGGCTACTGTATTTCTTTATTGATTTCTGAAACCTGCACAAAAGAACCCCAAATCAGTTTGCAGAAAAAATAGCCTCTATATAAAAATATTTATTGCTGATAGGAAAATTTCCTATGGCAAGTTTAGATTAAAAAATCGACTTCAATTTCGTATTAAATATTGTTGGAACACGTGAGCGATAAGACAACGTGTCTTTATAATTCAATAAATAAATAAAATGCAAAGCAAAAGAAAAAAACACCAGAAAATCATATTGACGTCTCCGATTTTGATTAGCATTTATTATTTGACATTTTATTGTTATTGAGTGGTAGTGTGAAATTTCCAAAATAATTCCCTATTTGCATTTCAGTCGCATTCAGTGACATATGTATAAGCATGACTTAAAAAACAATTAGAATTGCATCAGTAATTAGACACCCATTGTTTTTTTTCTTTCTTTGGTTTTGAAATTAATCAGCAAATCAAATTAGATTTCCGAACAGAGGCAACAACAACAGCCCTAGAAACTAACATAAGTTTAGAACATGGTATTTCATGTTTTCTTCTAATTTATGGCGCAAATTGGGTTGACATTTCAAATGAAATCGTATTTTTACAATACAGCTGAGGAAAAAATGTTAGCAGTGTGTTGATAGTTATTATTGATGTCATTTATTTGTATCTTATGAAGTCTTTAAAACAATTCCAAAAATACTTATCCAATTATTTTATTGTATGTATTCTTGAAATAGCACAATCGGAAAAAATGTATTTTTTTCGATATATGTTTTTCTTAAAATACGATACATATTTGGAATTATTTTTAAAAGACAATCAAAGGCCAGCCGATTTAGTTGATATAAGTGATAGTATCTTGGTCCCTCTTTCTTCTCAATTGTGGACACTGACCTCCCCGCGGTGTCACCTGGGGCAACTATTTTCACCCGTTGAAGTACTGAGCTGATATGTGCCGCGAGTTCACCCATAGGGACTATGAAAAAGCAACGGAAAAGAAACCCATAACCCAGCAGTCAGCAGATTAGTACAATTTGGTTAGAGGAATGCATGCCCAATGATTGGAACCCCAGTATCCTGTGTCCCGTGCAAAAAATAGGCAATATGTTAATTGCCAACTATAGATAAATACGTCTCCTTCCCATCCTATACATCCAGCATGCTGTTTGAACGACTGAAGCCAATAGTCAATGACATTATTGGATCATACCAATGCGGCTTCAGACCTGGCAAATCCACCATTGATCAGATTTTCACTCAGCCTACTCACCTACGACGATGGCATTGACATAATGGGTCGAACATTGAAAGCGGTAACAGTCACCTTTGAACAAATTGAGAAGAAGTCTGCCAAAGTGAGTCTGGCAGTAAACGGCGAGAAGACCAAGTAGATGGTGTCCACTCGCAAGATGTCCAGTAGACTCGGACCAACTGTGGGACTTGAGAACTGCATCTAGCTCTGACACGTATAGACTAATTCACAAAAAAAAAACGCATAATACAGTCGAGTACGGTTATAGCGAAGTGAAGTTATTTGTCAAACACATTTTTGAAATATTGTTTTAAATTTTTAAACTTTATAAACAAAAGCGAACATGAATGGAATAGTTTTTCGAACAAATATTTTATTAGTGGGAAGGGATAATTTCTTCGTTTAAGGCCCTTTCGCGGATAATTTCAAATTTGTTGCCTAGGCGAAAATCTTAAATTGCAGGTGAATGTTTGCCACCCACGTTTATTTCTTCAGATTTATATTTAGAAAACAATATGTGGAAGTAATTTTGATGGTATTAGAAATTCAGTTGCATATCTTGTATTGGACCAACCACCTCAATTTTATATTTAGATGAGCAGCTTCCAAAAGTGACGACATATAAAAAGTGTCTTATATCCTTCTAAGACCCCTAGGTAGAATATTCTGTAATAAGGTATAGAAGACCTCCCAAACGAATGTAAGAATGTAAATGATACCAAATATCACATAAGAAGGTAAATTAGTTAGGGTTTTCTATAGAAAGAAGATATAAGAAAAGAAAGATAAATGTGTTTTGCCCAAAGTATAATTTTATTATAGAGAACTTTTCTAAGATAAAATGTTTATCAAGAAGGTCTTCATATGCACATGATTTATTAGGAGATTACAAGATTCCTCACGATGATATTCTTAATATAAAATGTCTCTCAAGAGAGTACATTCCAGTAATAGAAGTATCGCAAGAGATTCTTCTAGTTATAATAGTCATTTTTAAAGACCACATATAGAGTCTATTAGTTATAGAAGGATTCACAAAGAGCGTTTCTAAAGAAGATAAAATGATTTACAAAAAGGACTTCAAGTGTTAAAATCACATAAGATGGTACTTTAGTTCCGTAGAAAGAGAATATCTCAATGGGGTATTAACCCTTTGTGGACCAATTTTGCCCACAGGCAACAAAATGTTTTTGAGCTTATAATTAATATGTAGTGGGAGGTGGTAGAAGACCTCCCAAAGAGTCTTGTGATTATGAAAGGTACATTAGGGAAGAATTACTACCTATAAAAGGCATCACAAGATTATTCAGTTTATGGGAGACTTATTTAGTGGCTGTAGTATTGGTAAACACCCAAGATCGTCAATTTATAGAAGCCCAGCGGCCCTTTTCGTAAACATAACATATAAAACTATTGGCACACCTTCCCTATATTATGTGCATAGTTTGTCGTTCATAATAAACTGACATGCCAGTTTATAGGAGACTTATGGAGACAAAGTATAGATAAAACCTCTAAAATGATCCTCAATTTATCGAAGATTTTCTCTAGAAGCCCTTTTGGTACACATTATCTATAAGACTACTAGCATGCTATACTATATGTGTATAGTTCGTCGCGATAATGGTACGAAATCGGTTACACATTTCATACGATATGGTAAAAATGTTTAGTATGGGATTATGCAAGATCATAGGAAATAAGACAAAACTCACCTGTGTACAATTGAACCCGGGAACTCTTTTCTTTGACACGGAACCGACAAGATATTACAAACTGGATATTCAAAGGATTTTATTTAGGCCCTTATAAGATCACCCGATTTGACAACTTTTAACACAATTTCCATAACGGCTGCCTGGCTACCCCACAACCGAAGGGGTGTGGCAGAATCATTTAACACACACTTGACGAATATATTATCTACGGAAACATGTTGGATTCGGTTCAACTACGGGCGACAGTACTGGGCCCAATAGGGGTTTTAAGAACTCGATTTCTTTAATGCTTACAGTCATTTTGACATGGAACCGACATTTTGCAATAAGTAAGAGCAACGTGGTAATAGGTACAGAATTTTCAATGGATTTCATTTAGGCAGTTCGACCGGCCAATCTGACAATTTCTGACTCGCACTAGGACATTTTTTCTTTAACACCTGCCTGTGGACCACACACAACCGCCCGAAGTGGGCAGGCAGCAACATTTAACACAAATATTCGAACTTCGGAAACATGTTGGACTTTATCTATCCATGGAATACATATCGGGGACAGTTATTCCACAAATATTTTTTTAATATTTTCATGACAAAGCTTCCAATTTACAATAAGAGCTCGATCTTTTTTATTGCACATCACACACTTGCAATTTCTTTCCTTTTTTCTTCTGCTCCAACACAATTTGACAAGCGCCATTTTCATGGCTATAAAAACACGATTTATTTCAATGCTAGTTTCAATTTTGACATTACATTTTCTTCTTTATATTTCCAATTACACATTTTTTTAATTTTTCACTTTCTCACTTTGATAGATTTTATAAAATTTAAAGAAAAAAATACGTTTTTAATAAAACGGCGGAACTGACATGAAATTTGCAAAAATGAAGCGCGACTATCGACAACTATCGATAGAAATGTGACATCGATGGATAAATAATCGTTGTTTTTGCGCCAATTGCCGTCATTTGCGTGGGAGAGTGTGAGAGAGATAGACAATTGTGAATAAGAGAGACCATGATCCAATATTGGATCATGAGAGAGACTTTGTTAAGTGACACAAAAGCAGTGATAAAATTGCACCATGACGGTTTTTGAATGGCAAATGTCAGTTTTTACTTTTTAATAAGGGAAAATGTAATAATTAAATATAATATAAATATTAATGTTGTTTTAATATTTTGTTGTTGTTTTATTTTTTGCCTTTCAAACTATAGCCTACTTTGTGACAGGCAAGATAACAAGAGGAGGCAAGTATTTATCTAATAAGAATGAGAATAGACAAAACAATAGAAAAATATTAAACTGTACTCTCAAACCCTTGATAATAGTTTTGAGAGATGATCGATAAATAATAATAATCGATAACAACCCGAGAATTTCTTTAAAAAAGATAACTGATAACTTTAAAAAATCCTCGCCTGTTTAAGGTCTTTGGAAAAATATCCTTTTATAAAATCCACTCCTATTTTAGGCCTTTGAAAAAATATTCTTAAAAAATCCATGCCTGTTTTAGATTGATGAAAAATATTCATTAAAAATCCACGCATGTTT